TGTAGACCGAAGGACCAAAGCCGCATGCGGCATATCCGCTTGTTATCTACCACAACAAAACCTATATTCTATGTAAATGTGAAAACGGTTCTTCTAACCCGTCGTTACTCTTCCGTATGCTAGTTGGAAACCCCACCAAGTAACATCCAAATTCCTCCTCTGGACTTTCCATGCTGTATTCCCTGTTACTCCATACAGTGGCTGAATACGCAAGTCATTCGCCTGTCAACTGAAAAACACTGATGCCCAAGTAAGGGGGAAATCCTCGGGATTAAGACTTTATCCTGGTTATATTACGAGGCAAGTCAAAAGCGTGGTCTGACTTTCTTCTAACTAGTTATGCTGCTCTGTGGAGTCGGCTCCCAATCACAACCAGGTGGTGTGAATGCGGTTATTTTGTAGTAAGCTGAGAGGCAACATCAATCCGGACACCATTGTCATTTTGTTCCTGGGGAAGCACACCTGACGATTTATTTGATGAAAGCCCAGATAACGTCTAACGGGTGAAATGCTAAAACGTACGCAATGTAATTAGCTCGCAGTGTCTACAATACATTCAAAGTGAAACAATGCCCTCACCTTTGTATAAAATACAAACCTTGTCCATGCACGTATGTATATGGTTTGTGTCAAAAATGGACGCAAATTACGTTTGATGAGAAACACGTTATAATTATATATACTATTATTAGTACTTTTGTTGCCCAACCTCCCTGGCGTCGATTATGTAAAAACTAATGAAAAGATTATTAAATGCGCCCTAAAGGAGCGCTGTGATGAAATGAATACTGTGACGAACTGAATACTGAGTACTAATACACATCATGGTATTCAGAAAGCACATTCCTACATCACCAACCTGCTGGTTACGAAAGGAAAGTGGATAAGATCAACATAGGCTACCGACGCTTAGACGATGTTTTAGTCGGCTTTAGCAAATAATTTGATAAGGATTCAGATTAACAGTTAATCTGCAAGTGTTAGGATTAGACCAATCCCAACTACCCAAACCACAGTGACCATCGATCAACCGCTATCGATCACTGGATTGAACACACCGTAATAGCCAGAGCAGCGTTCACATTTGGCATCATGGGGTGACGAAGCCTGGTCGTCCAACTTCGGGCCTATGGCCCAACTTGGTCAAATACATAGATGTTGGAAATGTGCCCATTCTTTTAACACCGGGTTGTAACAGTAAGCTCCGGGAAACTGCGGTGAGCGACAGCCTTTACTTCTGGATGGCAGAACAATGTGGGTGAGAGTGAACAGCATGCGCTCCCAGCTAATGCTCATGAACAGCGGAGTTTTGCAGAGTTCAGTCCTTGGACCCGAACTTTCAAGTTGTCCATCAATGACGTTCAACACATCCAACTAAATAACTAATCTATGCAGACGACTTAATACAATCTTTTGAAGTGCCGGAACTCAATGTCTGACAGATTATAGTCTACATTACATCCGTAGGAATGGTCCATCAAGTGGTGTTTACACATAAACTATGAGAAAAGTCACACCCTTCTGATTGGTACGTCTGAGTCGCTCGACAGCTCAAGAACGCCGCTCGGGATAAAGACCTGGGGGTAATCATGGCGTCATCTGAAAACCACCCAGCATAAACTGAAAAGTGGTCACTGAGGACGGGGTTTGCTGTACCAGTTTCTCCTTCAGAATGACACCGCAGATGTTCAGGTTCCTGTTCACTTCTCACACGTGGTCGATTCATGAGTATGGTATTCCAGCTGTTTTCCCCTATCAAAGCTCGAGCGTACTCTAAAAGTTAAGGTCCAAAATCTGCTTCCTTTGGGCTTCGGGATCTCCAGCAGATGAACCGCTTCTGACTAAAATAACGTCGACGTCGTGACCATAACCAGGTGCATATTATGGGGTGAATATGGAAATGAACTACAGCAGATCTTCCAGTTGCAAACAAGAGACTCGAAGCGGGGTTAGATAAAACGAGGAGGCGTAAGTTTTGCTACGCCTGTAGTAAACGAATAGAACAGTCATCCGGCGATTGCTGTAAATACACAGAATGAAGAGAGCTGAGAGAGCAAGGTGCTCCCATCTGCGTTTAGTTCAGTTGATCAACTATGATCCCAGCACGGGAGTGCTGTGGATCCAGTTACCACGACTCACATCGTAAGAATAACAATAGACAACAACGGTAAGGTATCTAGGCTAAATGAAAATAGAATATACAGAAAATGGAAGCACGAAGGAAGTGAATTAAACTAATTAGATTGGGACGAAAATTAACAACTGGATGCAGGAAACCGAATGCAGGTGCCATGTTTGATATAGTCTCTACCCATTGATGTTGATCATCCCGAGGTCCCCATCCACGTTGACGCACGCACTCACCTAACAAAGCCTCTCAGTCAATTTCTTCATGCCACTATGCCACGTCATGGACTGACCATCTCGCAGTTTCACCAAATTTGGTGCAGCTACGGCATATAATGCACATCAAGGTAGCCGATCAACGGGCATACGGAGGGCATGGCCTAGTCAAGGTAAGCGATTAAGATTCAGCAAAGACTCCAGTGAGGTACCAGAAGGCTTCTGGCTAAAAACCAACTGCCGGACCTCAGCACTGTTCACGTGGTGTTCCCACCAGACGTCAGCAATGTTCCGCAAGCACCGGTGGTCAAATACAGCTAAGCGTCTAATGTCTTTGCCACGAAATAGCCATGTCTCTTACCCATACAGTAAGACCGACCTTGCACTGACTGGATGATACTCCACCGTCTCCATAGATAGCTGGGCCATTGGAAAGCCACATGGGCCTTGTTGATACGCAAAGTAACTTCTTCAGTGATGTGGCGACCAGAGGTGACACAGCTACCAAGGTAAATGAACCGATCCACTACTTCTAGTGGCAGTTCGCCGATAGTTAGAACCGGAGGTGTCGCCCCAGTCCTGCAGCAGTACTTTTCACTGAAGGTGCAAGGTACATGCCGAAGCGTGTAGCGTTACGCACAAGTCTGTGCAAGTGTTTGCATAGCTAATGCATCAGACCCAAGCAAAATTGTCGTCTGCATAATCCAAGTTTATCAGTCGGTCGCCTGGCAGAACTTCCACTCCGGTAGAGTTTGAAAAGAGTCGTTCATGATCATTACGATAACAAAGTTGAAGCGGAAAGGACAAGCCTGGCGAACGGCATTTGTCGTAGGGAACTCAGGAATTTTCCGTAGACCGTCACACAACCTCTGGAATCGCGGTAGAGACTTAAGGATGGAAATTTAGCCGGCACGACCTTCATGGATAGGCAGTGCCACAAGCTGACACAGTCAAAAGTAGATGGCAGCTTTCAAGTCAAGGAATAGCATCATTGCCGGTCGTCTATGTCTCTGTTCTAACACTTGGCGAAGAGTAAATATATGGTTGGTTGTGGGTTTTAGTGATTCGGTTCTCACGGGGCCAATAAGTCGTTGGGGAACGATACCCGTGAGGAGTTTGGATGTACTGGAAGCAAAGCTGATGCCTCAATGATTTTCATATATCGTCATCTTGCAGCTACGGATCTTCCCTTTCTTCAATTCCGCTCTCGATTGCTCTTCAGTTCCTTTCTTTCTTAATCACTCGTAGTAAATTCCCCACAAACTCTGCACCTCTCACTTTATGCGTAGACTACAATTTTACTCCTCCAATTTTTTATTGCACGTGGCCGGCGGAATAGGGTCTGCTAGCACAGGGCGCGTGGGTCTTGTTTGGTGGACTGTGTTCCGCGCGTGCTGATTTGACTCATACAATTGGCCAATCATACGCCGAATTCGAGCGTGGATCAACGACGTACTCAGGATGGAATGACTATGAGAATCTCTTTTTGTTCTTACCCCATTTAAATTTGAAGTTTGAAAAAATTTAATGCTGCGAACAGGGGTTTGAATTCACGTTGCAGTTGATCTCGCGATATACCCAGCTCTCGCGTGACGGATGGTAGTCATGTCTTTCGGAATCCTAACGGCTAGTTTGTGAAGCTATTTTCGGCATTCGTCCGACCCCACCGGGAATATTGTATTCAGGCTTGTCCACCATGTCTAAAGCGAGACAAAATGGACTTGGAGAGGGTGTTACGAGTGGGCACTCGGTTAGTGCAGGGTTTACGGGGACAGACGTATCCTGAACGCTTGCTCAGTTTGGGGATGTACTCAATGCACTACCGAAGGATAAGAGGGGACCTGATTCTCACTTATCATATTTTGACGGGTAAGATTGTCCCGGACTTGTCAGGGCTATTTAGTCCCGCTACGTTACCTAGTCTCGGCGGTCACCCACTGAAACTGCATAAGCCACGGTCTGATAAGATAAGGACGGAAACTCGTCTATTGCGCCGAGTTATAGATCGCTGGAATTCGCTTCTAGATCATGTGGTTAGGGAACCTACGGTTAAGGGTTTTGTGCGCCGGCTCGATGCTCTTGGGTGGCAACAGCAAACCTTTCCTTTTTCCTAGCCGACTCACCTTCACTTTTCAGTTCTTTTTTTAATAATTCAAATATCTTGGTATTTCACTTGCTTAGCTCCTTCCCCTTTCCTTTTTGCCTTCTGAGTTTACTTTTTCTTTCTTACTTCACGTAACCGACCGAGCAGTGACTGCTAGGGCAGGATACGTGGGCATTAATTGGCTGGACAGGGTATGATGCGGTCTTTGTTTTAGGTCCATCAGTATTTCAAATTTTGCCAACTCCTGGTTCAACGACACGCCGAAGGAGGAACACTCACGGGATAATTCTACCGTTCCAGTCCCGCTTGAACTTGAACTAATTTGTTCCGAGTACGGATGGCTGTGACAAGAAAGTATGCGTTCACTACGTGGGCTAAGACTAGGCAAAAAAGTTTGCTTAACCTAAATACTCCGACATAAGGTTTACTGGGACGGCCAGGGCACAAAATCGGTCATCCGGCAGGAAATCGCGTCAAACCGACCAGTTCTGCGAATACATACGTAATGGTCAGTTGTGTTGATCACGATTATAGATGAAAGGAAAATGCTAACCTCATTTCCATCGGATTTGCGCAAACAAAAAATGACATTTTAGTGCCAGCATGAGGCTCATGAGGTACGCCGAAGGCCTGTGGAATTTCGGCCGCGGTGATACACGTTGGTTTGCAAGGAACTCTGTTCAGCACATCACCAAAAGCCAAAAAAGCGGTAACTTTCTGTCTGATAAAGTACAAATAAAAATAATAATACCGGAATATCGATACTACGCTTGGGGGAGATGGACGATGCATTTTCAAACCACTGAAACCAACCGGAAGGTAATAATTTACAATAAACATTGCTCCACTGATTTTTATTCGCTAAAAAACAGCATTAACTATAAAACAATACCTGACCACTTCCTTAAATAGCCTTCTTTGATAGACATTCCGCCGGAAGAATGATCAAGGAAGGACGAAGCAAGAAAACTGCGATTAATTGCGGCGGTGCAACTACGTCAAGGTCAGGTCAGGACAGGTCAGATTCAGATGGACTGGAACGATAAGAAAATCCCTTGCGTGATCCTTCTTGAGCGTATCGTTGAGCCAGGAAATGATAAGGTGCTGGGCCTTGATAGGTCTAAAACCATACACCCGAAACACACCCTGGCCAACCAATTACTGCCCATGTTCCATGCGCTAGCAGTCCCCGCTGTGTAGGTTACGTGAAGTAAAAAATAAGTATGAAGTAAATGGATGATAAAGGGTATGAAAGCCATTTAAATGAAGGATAACACCAACAAGCGAAGCAAATGACAGTAAAAGAAATAAATGTTTGAAGATGGATATGGTCAAGGGTTGCCACCCAGGTGGGTCTAACTGACGCTCGAAACCCTTAACCGTAGGTGCACTGGCTACACCTTCTGAAAGCGAGTTCCAACGCTCGATAACTACGCGATGGCCGAGTTTTCGCCCTGATCCTGTCAGAACACAGCTTGTGTAGCTTCATGGGATGACCGCGAATGCAAGGCAAGCCGGGCTAAATAGCCAGCTCAAGTCCGGTCCAACCATCGTTGTTAAAATGCGGTAAGTAAGGAATAGGTCTCCAAGAAGCCGTCAGTAATGCATTGAATACATAACCAAGCAAAGTAGACGTTCGGAATACGATTGCCCCCGTAACCCCTCGACCAATTTGGTGCCTACTCTCAAAACCCACTCGAGCACCATTTTGTCCCGAACAAGGCAGGGCGGGCACGCCTGGACGCAGTATTCCTGATGGGGCCGAACGAAAACTGAGAACAGCTTCACAACTATATCGGCAGTTAATACCCCGAAAGAACGGCGTATTAACCACAACATTCTGAAACCCTTAATAGCGACCTTCTTCCAGTTGTCACCAGAACGCAAAGACGTGGAATGGACGACGTCTAGGTCTATCTGGTTAGTGACAAGGGGGAGTTCGACCAAACCGAGTACGTAGCGCAAAGGCGGGAAAGTTGCTCCTGTACGAAGGACGGAACGCTTAGTCTGATTTATGGGCAGTAGCCACAAAGCAGACCAGTCCCAGAGACTGTCCAGTGCATGCTGTATGGCCACAGAACCCCCAGGAACATTCACAACCTTCCATAGCCTAAGGTCATCAGCAAACAATAGGGATGATACCCCAAGCTCTCCAGGGAGATCGTTTACGTAGATGGAGAACAGCATCGGTCCAAGGACGAAGCCCTGTGGGACACCGCTAACAACCGCTTGCCTAAAGGATAAGCTGCAACCCACACGTACACACTGTTCTCTTCCCTGTAAGAATGCAAACACCCAGTGAAGGGTGCGGCCAAATACGCCGCATAACCCCAGCCTTTGTGATAGCCTCAACCGGGCACCTTATCAAATGCGTTCGAGAAATCTACGAAAAGCACGTCCACTACGTGACCACTGTTCATTGCCTCAGCCCAAGCTTCACGAGCAATCAGCAAATTTGTCCGACAGGAAAACCCCTTCCGGAATCCATGTTGTGCACTGGTGTGTAGAGTAAATCTATTCAGGTGACCTTCCAACGAATCGCTCACCAGTTTTCAAGCAGTTTGACCACGACGCTGGCCTATAATTGGCTGACATACTCCTGTCGACATTTTTGAAGATATGACATGATAGCCTCCTACCATTCAGAAGGTAATGCACAGCTGTCAAGTGACTTCTGGAACATCATCAGCGGTCCACTTAGTTACACCGCCAGGGTTTAAGAATAGCAAACTGAATACAATATGATCTTATTTTGCAACGACCTCTTCCTTCAATCCTTATTTCTTATTTACATCTTCATTCCATCTCTTCAGACTTACATTTATCACTTTCCAACTTCTTCTTCCTTGGAAAAAGTATTAGGCTTATGACCTCTATGGTACTCCTAGTAAAGGCATGCTACCAGACCTAAGCCTTGCATAGGATGATGAAAGCGTTTTTTGCTGCTGATGCACCCAAGCTTAGCATTAGAATTGTCCAAAATCGTCTAAATGCCGGCTTTAAATGAAACTTTACGTGTCTTCCTAGATGTCGGTTGCCAGCGGGCCCTAATTGAAGCTTTTTCATTAAGTCTGAGCACTAGTTACTATACTCAGCAGTTTCCAAACACTATCAGTAGGTAAACCGCAAAATAAAACATATATCTTTCTTATTGTTGACAAAGAGCGTACTTTGAAAGTTCTAGTTCGAGTATCCAACACCTGTTTGCGGATTGGGAGCTAATAAACTCAAACACCTCTTTGGACGCACTCCTAGGGCTGCTATACACAAGAACAAATGTAAGTTGAGCTGAGGAAGTGCTAATCACTACCGACAGAGCTTCGACAGTTTTATCTGCCGACTGAAACATGTAGGTACGTGAAACGACAAGCTCACCTCTAGCGTAAAGCGCAACGCCCCCAATGTCGGCCAACGAAGCAATCACATCTAATTAGTGATTGCCAGAGAGACATACTTCACCGTCCGTGATGTCCTGAGACAGCCTCGTTTCAGTGAATGCAAGTATATCGGGATGAGACCCATCTACAAGCAGGCTTATCTAGCACATCTTATTTCTTAGGCTCCGCACATTGCTTAGCACTATCTGAAGGTTCTCGTAATGTCCAGCCCTGAGTTGTGCGCTGCCAGTACTGGCGCTGGTAGTGCGGAAACAGACCGCCGGCTGAGCACCCGAACACACCAACCGGAGACCTTGTTTACCGGCCGCTTTCGTGGTTTTGAGGTATATAATGGCCTCTTTTAGCTTCAGCCTATCCGCAAATGGGATGTCTGGCTGAACGCTAACATTAGTATCCTTCAATTTGAAGACAAACCGCAATAGCGCGTTGCGTTCATTAGGGTGGATTGGACTACCCGAAGTAAGCGCGGCCGAGGGTTTGGGGCGTTAACTGGGACGTTGCTCAATCTAGTCCGTTTCCTGACAGTAACGCCGCGAAACCCAGGCGGAAGAAGCTTTGTTACGCATATCTTAAACCACCGTAGGCCGTCCAACGTACGTTCGGCAGAAAGTGCAGCAGCGGAATCCGCTGCCTTACGGAATACCGCGCTGCTATCCACGGAAGACTCACTTTGACGCGGTGTATTTACCCCACGGGTTTTGGAAATTACATGAACAGCAACCGGCTTAACCATAGGCAATGAGACTGGGCGCAATTTATCAGACGACGTCGGAGCAACTGTAGAGTACGTCTTACGCTCCAGCTTGTTTGTCCCGTCATTCTTGACGATTTTCGCACCTGCCTGAAGAGTACGGACAGTTCTGTTTCGATTTAGCTTTCGTCCAGCAGGCGAAGAAGCCCGTGGCTCAACGTCCATGCCGGCCTCCACGATCTGTACCCCCGGAAGACGGGATGAGGTGTTTGGAATAGGCACTGCAGTTTGAGTCTGAGTTCAAGTGGGACTGGAACAGTAGGATAAATCCACGTGAATGTCCCTACCGTGGTGCGTCGTTGATCCATAGTATTGTTCGTCCGCGAGACCAGGAATCCACAACAGTCAGCTCAGCGCACGGGCACTGCACCACGCTCTAATAATAATACCCACGCGACTTGCATTGGCACTCCCTCCGCACTGACCACAATAAGCAACAGAAGTACGAAAGCAACAAGGGCGGCAAGAAGCAAATTGTGATAGATTTATTAATTAAATAAGACGAATAATCGTAGAGGCGAAGTGGAATGTTAAGCCTTGAGGACCAAAGGCACCCCGACGGTGTTTAAGTTCAAGTTCAAGTAGGACTGGAACAGTAGGATAACTGTCCGTGAATGTTCCTTCCGTGGTGCGTCGTTGTTTCCGGTTATTATTCGTCCATGATAACTGGAATCCAGAAGAGTCAGATCAGCGGGCGCGGATCACACCTCAGTCAACCAATTAATACCCACGCTCCCTGCATTGGCATTCCTGGCCGCACCGGTCACTTTAAATAAGAAAGGGAAGTATTAAAGTAATAAGAGAGTCAAGAAAAAAGGCTTACTAATTTAATAAACCGAATAAGCTAGGATGTGAAGGGGATGGTTAAAAAGTGAAGGTCAAGAGCTTCGAGTCGGTGTTCGAATTCTTTCACTGTTGGTGCCCATACCACGTTCTCGTGCAGTGCATTCCAGGAATCTATCACTCGGCGTGATAAGCAACCGTCCGCCCGAACTCCATCCGATCGAGTTTTGTGTAGCTCCATCGAGTGACCTCGGAGCGATGAGAGCCGAACCGTTTGAAACAGCCTAGATAACTCGGGTCCGATTTTATCGGTAAGTATGCGATAGTTTAAGACAAGGTCGCCTCGATGGTGGTGATAATGCATTGAGAACATTCCCAGCGCAAGTAGCCTTGCTGGGTATGAATGGTTCCGTCGTCCATGTTCGAACCCTTTCCTTGTTTGTACCAATACCACGTACTCAAGCTGTGCATTTCAAGAATTCACCACTCTGCATGATAAACGGTACTCCGCCTGGCCTCCATCCGATCGCGTTTTGTGTAGCTTATCAAAAAACCTCGGAAAGCTGGATACCGAGGCGGTTGGTAAGGCCAGATTAATTGGGTCCGATATTACGGGTAAGTATGCGATAGGTCATGATGGGTTCGCCTCAATGGCGATGACAACGCATCCAACACCTTCCCAGCTCAAGTAGTCTTTTTGGGCAAGAAAGGTTCTGTAGTCCATGCAACATTCCGGTTCCAATTCTCAACACACTCCCCTGACATCCTGTCCCTGACTAAGCAAGATGGACAAGTCCGGATGCAGTATTCCAAGTGTGGCCTGCCATAAGCTGTGAATGACTTAACAAACATATCGCGCGTGATGGTCCCGAATGCCTTGCGGCTCATCCACAACCAACTAAAACCCTTGCACGTAGCTTACTTCCAGTTCTCACTGGATTTAGGGGCTGCAGACAACGTGCTCCCTAGGGCTACTAGTTGGTAAACATGGTGTAGTCCATTACAGCCACGTAAATGACGCGTAGGGTGGCCAGCTGGCCCTAATCGTACGATGTCACACTTTGCATA